GTGAAATGCACCAGAAACCCGCGGGGAAATAATCGGTAACGATACACGCCGCCAAACGCGACCGTTTCGCGTTCGCCAAATCGGTTGATAAGCTCGTTAGGAACTTCGAGAAACTCGGCCACTTTGAAACAGTTCGACGTCCATTGGGGAATTAATCTCAAAGTAAACTGTTATTTATTGAATCTAAAATTGATTTGAAATGTTCGAAGAATTGTCGATTTTCTAATATTTTTTTTTCTCGATAGTGTGATGAGATATTTGTGGATCGAAGTGTAATAGTTTTGATAGTAACAGTTACCTAACAATCTGTTGACGTTATTGGCAGAGAGCAGAGGGTTGGTAAAACGTCGACAGCCAACTAAACGGAGATTAGCCGCGGAGTTTGGCGCGGCTGGTATACGAAAACTAATTACAAAGATTAATGTCTTTTGCATACGGGTCTGTTCGGTTTCCACGTAGCTTTACTTTATCGAAAAGGCGCATACGTGCGTACTTTTCGTGACGATTAGCGATGATGACGTTGCGTTATTCGAACAAATACGATGGTTTACCGGTGCTTCAGAATCTACCGAAAGAAGCCACCGGATCGTGAATAGGCCCGAAAGATGATCAAACGCGACGGGAACGGGGAGAGGGGTGACTTCGTTAATTGGCTGCAATTAACAAGAACGGGGGCTACCATTCGCTTCCGCGAGTCATTTAGGCGGGGATTGTGCGCGGTCTTTTTTAGGAGGATCAACGTAAATCTTGAACGGGGAGGCCTTCGATTATACATCTCACGAAAACGGAGAAAATTGCGGAATTAATTGTTAATTGTTTCTATGGAAGATAAAGGTAAACATAGAAAACAGTCCGACTATAAATCTCACAAAGACGTCGAAAACTACAGAATCAATAATTAAGAGTTTCTATCGAGGATCTACGTAAACCTCGAACACAGAAGTCATCGACTATAAGTCTCACTAAAACACAGAAAATTACGGAATTAATAGTTGATAGTTTTTATCGAGTCGAACACAGAAGTCTTCGACTATAAATCTCACAAAGACGTCGAAAACTACAGAATCAATAATTAATAGTTTCTATCGAGGATCAACATAAACCTCGAATACAGAAGTCATCGACTATAAGTCTCACTAAAACACAGAAAATTACGGAATTAATAGTTGATAGTTTTTATCGAGTCGAACACAGAAGTCTTCGAATATAAGTCTCACAAAAACACAAAAAATTGCGGAATTAATAGTTAATAGTTTGTATCGAGGATCAACGTAAACCTTGAACACAGAAGTCTTCGACTATAAGTCTCACAAAAAGGTAGAAAATTGCAGAATCAATAGTTAATAATTTCTATGGAGTCAAACACAGAAGTCTTCGTCTATAAATCTCACAGAAAACACAGAAAATTGTGGACTTAATAGTTGATAGTTTCTATCGAGTCGAACACAGAAGTCTTCGACTATAAATCTCACAAAGACGTCGAAAACTACAGAATCAATAATTAATAGTTTCTATCGAGGATCAACGTAAACCTCGAACACAGAAGTCATCGACTATAAGTCTCACTAAAACACAGAAAATTACGGAATTAATAGTTGATAGTTTTTATCGAGTCGAACACAGAAGTCTTCGAATATAAGTCTCACAAAAACACAAAAAATTGCGGAATTAATAGTTAATAGTTTGTATCGAGGATCAACGTAAACCTTGAACACAGAAGTCTTCGACTATAAGTCTCACAAAAAGGTAGAAAATTGCAGAATCAATAGTTAATAGTTTCTATGGAGTCAAACACAGAAGTCTTCGACTATAAATCTCACAAAAAACACAGAAATTTGTGGACTTAATAGTTGATAGTTTCTATCGAGTCGAACACAGATGTCTTCGACTATAAATCTCACAAAGACGTCGAAAACTACAGAATCAATAATTAATAGTTTCTATCGAGGATCAACATAAACCTCGAATACAGAAGTCATCGACTATAAGTCTCACTAAAACACAGAAAATTACGGAATTAATAGTTGATAGTTTTTATCGAGTCGAACACAGAAGTCTTCGAATATAAGTCTCACAAAAACACAAAAAATTGCGGAATTAATAGTTAATAGTTTGTATCGAGGATCAACGTAAACCTTGAACACAGAAGTCTTCGACTATAAGTCTCACAAAAAGGTAGAAAATTGCAGAATCAATAGTTAATAGTTTCTATGGAGTCAAACACAGAAGTCTTCGACTATAAATCTCACAAAAAACACAGAAATTTGTGGACTTAATAGTTGATAGTTTCTATCGAGTCGAACACAGATGTCTTCGACTATAAATCTCACAAAGACGTCGAAAACTACAGAATCAATAATTAATAGTTTCTATCGAGGATCAACATAAACCTCGAATACAGAAGTCATCGACTATAAGTCTCACTAAAACACAGAAAATTACGGAATTAATAGTTGATAGTTTTTATCGAGTCAAACACAAAAATCTTCAACTATAAATCTCACAAAAACGCAAAAAATTTCCAGAATTAATAGTTGATATCTCTTTAGAACGCCTTCCAGCGACGATATTTCATTCTCAGGCGTAGAATGTCGAGTGTTTTAAATGTCTCGCGAATCAGTACGAAAATCTCGATCTCCCAAATGACGACAGTTTTGAATGCACGACCATTCTAACAACGTTTACACCGTTTCTAAATGAATCCTCGAGGCGAGCCCGAGGCGTGGTATTACTATAAACACAATAATGAATTCTACGAGCCGTGCGTATTTCCGAGAACTTACAATGGCAGAGGGAATGTTACCAAAACACTGCTCGTCCTGGATCCTCTGCGCGTCACAAATATTTACTCGAACATTTCAACGCGCCCCATCGAACACACTCGAGATTTTCCAAACATTTAAACCCCGATACCGGGGGCCCTTAATTTTCCTCGTTAGCGATCCCGGTATCCCAAATGGTTATTTATTTGATTATTGGAAATTTTAATACCGGAAAAATAACCACTAACTTTCGTTTATTTCCACGTTTTATAATTTTTTAATACTCTATTTATATCATTGTTTATTTGAATTCGTGAAAGAGATGTTAGGAGATATTAAAAATGACTAGGAAGTTTCGTTAAATTTTGGTTTACATTTTAACAGAGATTTGTTAATATTTTGCACATTTTAAGAAACTCTTGCTAATGTTTCACGTTTTATTTTAATACTCTTTTTGAAAATTCTTGTTTAACACATTGACTGTCAATCTAAAATTCTAAAATTGTTTAGATGAACGAAACTTTGATTTTGGAGAATTCTAAATTATCTAACTTAACTCTTTGCTATATAATAACTAGTCTAACTCGTTACAAGCTCTTCAATGTCAAGTTTTACAATCATTAAGCTACTCTTCATGAAGCTTTACATATTAATATTAACACATAATTTACTTTCACCAGGTATTCGTAGAACAAATCTATTCTTTTAACAAATTTAAGCTTAAAATTAAATAATATACATTTGGAAAAATTATTTGGACTAAAAATTACATCTAGGGGTTAAAAATTGTCGTAATACTTATTTTCGTAACTTCACTAAAATTTACAAAGTCAATTAAAATTTATTTTCTTTTTTTAAATTGAGAATTGTTTCAATTTCACAATTAGAAGTTTTGTCACACATATATGGCAATCAATGTGCTAATAAACTCTTGATAATGTTACACATTCTATTTTAACACAAATTTTCTAATATTCTAACAAACTACTCCTAATATTCCACTTTTAATAGAGATTCTCTTCTACTATCTTTGCAAATTTTTCTCCAATAAATTCAAGCTAATATACCACGTTCTATTTCAATAGAGATTCTCTAATGCTCTGCAAATTCTACTCTGAACAAATATTTCTAAACTCTTCCTAATATTCTACATTCTATTTCAATAGAAATTATCTTATACTGTTTTTGCAAATTGTTCTCTAATGCTCAGCAAATTCTTCTCGATCAAACGTTTCTAAACACTAATGTTTCACGTTATTTTTCGAGAGATTCTAAAATCGACTCTGTTCTGTAAATTTGTCTCGTATAATACGAAAACAGTCCAAGAAAGCCACTATTTAGGATTCTAGTTCAATATTTTCTAATTCTCTGCAAATTCTTGTCAAAAAAAGGTTTCTAAACTCCTCCTAATATTCCACGTTCTTTTTCAAGAGATTCTAAAATCGACTCTGTTTCGCAAATTTGTCTCGTATAATACGAAAACAGTCCACGAAATTCACTATTTACAATTCTAATTCAATATTCTCTAATTCTCTGCAAATTCTTGTCAAAAAAAGGTTTCTAATCTCTCCCTAATATTCCACAATCTCTCTCAATCGATTCCCAAATCGACTCTGTTCCCCAAATTTGTCTCGTATAATACGAAAATAATCAACAATATCCACTATTTACGACTCCATTTCAACATAGATTCTCTAATGCTTGGAAATTCTTCTCAAAAAAGTGTTTCTAAACTCCTCCTAACATTCCACATTCTCCTTCAATTAATTCCCAAATCGACTCTGTTCCGCAAATTTGTCTCGTATAATACGAAAACAGTCCACGAAATCCACTATTTACGACTCTATTTCAACAAAAATTCTCTAATTCTCTGCAAATTCTTGTCAAAACAGTGTTTCTAAACTCCTCCTAACATTCCACGTTCTTTTTCAAGCGATTCTAAAATCGACTCTGTTCCGAAAATTTGTCTCGTATAATACGAAAACAGTCCACGAAATCCACTATTATTTACGATTCTACTTCAATATTCTCTAATTCTCTGCAAATTCTTCTCAAAACAAGGTTTCTAATCTCTCCCTAATATTCCACAATCTCTCTCAATCGATTCCAAAATCGACTCTGTTCCGAAAATTTGTCTCGTATAATACGAAAACAGTCCACGAAATCCACTATCTACCCATTTAACCGATGATCGCCGCGTCTCAAGAAGAAAAATAAAAAGTCCCCAATTTCCCTTACCTTTCCGAATCTGGGTCCCCGGGGGCCGGATATCCGACTAGCACCCGTCGTCAGCTTCCGGGGATCCTGGTTCCTGGGCCCGACGTTCACTCGCGAACTCGCGATACATAGAATCCCACGTCTCTCCTGGTTTCACGTTGCACACGGTGTATATCCTGGTCGCGATCGACAATGCGTTTTACGGTGGCCCGTGTACGTGCGCGGCAACGAGGGTTGGTAAAACTGGAGCGTGTATACGGCGAGAAATCGTGAAACTCACTTCCCCGTGGCCGGTGTGTCTCGCGCGAGAGCGGCGATATCTCGGATACTCTCTGGCGCGGGCTTCTCTCTCTCTCGGCGGCGACGATACACGCCGGTGGCGGCGGCGGACGACGCCGCTGCTTCCTGGTACCGCCACTCGATAGCGCTGCCTTCGTCCTCTCCCGGACTCGTCCTCCCACCCCCCGCCACCTTCGTCGAGAGGGGAAACTCACACGGACCAACGACGAGGGGAGAGACCGCGCTCGCGCACTCCTCGCGTGCTCCACGACTGTTCTCGCCCCTCGTTCCTCGTCCCTCTACTCACACACGAAGAACACGGCGAGAAAAATTCCCTGGAATCCTCCTCCTTGCGACACTCGCGAGACTTCTCGCACCCTTCGAGAAACGTTCTTCCGCCGGTATGATACGCTCCTGTTTCCGCGACGCGAGCGGGTATCGAAACCGTGCAGTTATGGAGCCGGCTGGTGGTGGCCCAAATTCCCAAAAATTTCGGGAAACACTAACCCCGGGAGTGCACTTTCGCGGTTGTTCGCCTCGTTTCGCGCCCCACCGCCGCCCACACGCACACACTGGAAGCCCGCGGACGGAGAGGGGAAGCGTACGCGCAGCCTCCGCATGGACCAAAATGGCCGGTCGCGCGCGCACCGATTGGCGGGACGGGGACAGCAGGGGCGTGGCGAGCGCGCGCCGCGTACCTCGCGGCCGCTCGTCGCCGATCAAAATAAAGATCTCGCGTCGGATGGAGTGGGGGGGAGCGCGAGTGGTGGGGGATCGATGAGAAATAGAGAGTGGAAGGGGGGGAGAAGGGAGAGCGTACGCGCAGGGTGCACGTTGCATTCGTTACGCGTTACGTTTTCGAAGGGGCGTCGAGCGGGGGAAAGGACTTTTTTATGGATCCCTTTCTCTCTCTCTCTCTCTCTCTCTCTCTCTATCTGAGAGCGTGTGTGTCGCGAGTAATGTAGCGTGGAGAGAGTGCATACACGGGAGTAACCGTGAACGTGCGACTACGGTGATCGTCATTAAGGGAGATGCTAATTGAAGGCAACACATTCTGCGATTTTTTTTAACGTTAGACGAGTTTGTACTGTTTCTGGGAAACTGGGGAATAGGGGAATATTGTACACTTGGGGTGTGGGATAATTTGGACTAATGTTGGGGACTATTGGAGTTGGTAGGAATGATTGGTAATTTTTGATAAAAAATTGGTCGACAATTTATGGTGACGTTAGAAGTGTTGGAGTTGGTTAAAATGATTGGTAAATTCTGATAAAAATTTTTCAATAATTTACGTTGATATTAGAAGTGTTGGAATTGGTCAAAATTATTGGTAATTTTTAATAAAAATTGTTCAATAATTTATGTTGACTTTAGAACTACAGGAAATGGGCAAAATGATTGATAATTTCAAATAAAAATTGTTCAATAATTTACATTGACGTTAGAATTATCGAAAATGGACAAAATGATTGGTAATTTTTATTGAAAATTGTTTGACTGGGTTTTTGAAAATTTAGTTTTCTATGAAAGAATGAATAAACACTTATTTCAATTTTTAACTAGTAAAACAATCCAAATCATTCGTAATTTTTGTAATAAAAATTTTTAGAAATCTATATGATTGGTTTTTTGAAAATTTAGCTTTTCATGAGAGAATGAATAAACAGTTATTTCGATTTTTAACTAAAGCAATCAAGTTTTTCCTTAACTATAGTACTTTGTATGGAAAATGGGAAAATTGATATCAAAATTTTTCCTTAATTATAGTAGTTTGTATAGAAAATGAGAAATACTGGTATCAAAGTTTTTCCTTAATTATAGTACTTTGCATGGAAAATGGGAAATACTGGTATCAAAGTTTTTCCTTAACTATAGTAATTTCCATGGAAAATAGGAAATACTCGTATCACAGTTTTTCCTTAACTATAGTCCTTTGTATAGAAAATGGGAAATACTGGTATCAAAGTTTTTCCTTAACTATAGTACTTTGTATGGGAAATGGAAAAACTGGTATCAAAGTTTTTCCTTAACTATAGTAGTTTGTATGAAAAAATGGAAAACTGGTATCAAAGTTTTTCCTTAACTATAGTAGTTTGTATGGAAAATGGGAAATACTGGTATCAAAGTTTTTCCTTAACTATAGTAATTTCCATGGAAAATAGGAAATACTCGTATCACAGTTTTTCCTTAACTATAGTACTTTTCGTGGAAAATGGAAAATACTCGAGTTTTCTATAAGAGAATGAATAAACACTAATTTCAATTTTTAACTAATAAAACAGTTAAAATTACCCATTCGAAATTTCCATAATAAAAATTTTACCCAGAATTTTGGAAAATTTAATTTCTCATAAGAAAATGAATAAACAGCCATTGCAATTTTTATTTAAAACAATTAAAATGACTCATTCGTAATTTCCATAATAAAAATTGTTACAAATCTACTCGACAGGATTTTTGAAAATTTACTTTTCCATAAAAGAATGAATGAACACTTATTTTAATTTCTAACTAGTAAACAAATTGTTATAAATGTACTCGACTGTGTTTTTGAAAATTTAGTTTCCTATAAAAGAATGAATAAACCCCAATTTCAATTTTCATTTAAAACAATTAAAATACCCCATTCATAATATCCATAATAAAAATTCTTACAAATCTACTCGATTTTACAAAATTTCCACAAGAGAATAAATAAATCATTTAAATTTCCAACTAAATCACTAAAAATGCCCCATATCGCAATAAAATTCCCAAAAACCTCGAATTAAAAAAAATTTCTACCAAATTTCTTTGCTCCCAAATAAACACCCTAATTGCCCCTTCTATCTCCATCCTTGAAACCTTTGTTACACATTTCCACGCAGGAATATCACAATAATTTGTCTCGTTCTTAGAGACCCCGCGTAAGCCCGCGACTCTCAAGCAATTTTCAAAGGTTGTTAACCTCTCGCCCGTTGTAATTTTATATGCGCTCTTTTTTCGCGTTTCGGGGATCAGTATTTCCTACCCAGCGACGATGTTCCTTCCCCGGAGCGGGTGTCTCGCGAGCAGACGTTGTTTGTTTGTTTGTTTGCACGTATTGCACCCGTTGCATCGGAGGCAAAAGGGGCCCCGGAGAGGTATATGGCTGTATCGTGTTCTATTCTATAGAGCGTATCGTGTGTGCGGTTGGGGGGCACGACGGTAGCCCAGCCTCGAAAATTGAATGTCAGCCAAGAAAGAAATGTCACAATATTCCGCGTGTCTGCAGCCCTGGCTGGTTTCTATTGCATCCTCCATCTCCGTCCATCCGCCAGGAATCGCACGGCGTTCATTTTCATAGAGTCTGTTTACGCGTTGGATGGGCAGAAAAGGGGAATGGCTACGGGTACAAATAGCCGCACAACACGCGAATGGAAATAAAGGCGCGAGGCTCTGTCCCGGGGTCTCGAGAATCCTCGAAAACAATAATATTCCGTGACTCGTGTAAATCTCGGTAACGTTAGGAGTTTATGGTTCGATAAATTTCACGTGCCCCTCCCCCAATTTGCCTCGTCGAATTGACGTTGTAAATCAAACGAATCGTCTCTCGTTGACCGAGAAATCCTTTCGGCATCTGCTAGCGGTGGCTCGTATTTGGCTGCGCCTTTTCTGAAAAAGCGTGTCCCCGGCAGGAGACGAGGTCGCCGCCGTAATCCGACGTCCGAATGTTTGACAGAATAATTTTCACGTTAGCAGGGTGCATTATGCTCCTTTATGCTCGCGCCTGGCCCTAAGCATTGTCGCTGAAATAAGCCGTATCCCACACCGTACGGCCCCCTCAGCTTTTATGCGCTTTTGCACGTATACCCGGGCCACACAAAAACCGGGGAACCCCGTGGTATGGTTGCACTTCGTACGAGAAAGACGGAGAGATTAGAATCCACGAACACCTCCGTCGGTAGCTTCCTACTCTTGTGCAGTGAATTCTCTCTTGGTATTTTTTTTAGCCTTGTTGCTGCTGTACCAGTACTTCTTAAAATCTTCTGATACTCGTGGTATGTTAATCTTTGGGTTGTAAAAGCAAAATTGTATTTGTGGTCACTTAGAAGTATCCACGAGGTCCAAATGTTTGACGAGAAAATTTTTGTCTGATGGTCTCTTGAGAAAGAGTGAATTTTATTTGCTAAAGATGATTTGGAGGTGTAAAATTAAAAGTGATTGGGAATAGTAGTAGTAGAAGTCAAAGTTTTTCCTTGATTCTAGTACTTTGTATGGAAAATGGGAAATACTGGTGTCAAATTTGTTTCTTGTAGTACTTTGTATGGAAAATGGGAAATAGTGATGTCAAAGTTTTTCCTTATAGTACTTTGTATGGAAAATGGGAAATACTGGTATGAAAGTTTTCCATTAACTTTACTACTTTTCATAGAAAAAATACTCGTATCACAGTTTTTCCTCAACTATAGTCCTTTGTATAGAAAATGGGACATACTAATGTCAAAGTTTTTCCTTAACTATAGTAGTTTGTATAGAAAAAATACTGGTATCAAAGTTTTTCCGTAACTATAGTACCCTGTATAGAAAATAGGAAATACTGGGATCAATGTTTTTCATTAACTATAGTAGTTTGCATAGAAAATGGGAAAACAAGTATCAAATTTTTTCCTTAACTATAGTCCTTTGTATAGAAATTGGAAAATACTGGTGTCAAAATTTTTCCTTGACTGTACTACTTTGTATGGAAAATGGGAAATTCTGGTGTCGAAGTTTTTCCTTACAGTATTTTGTATGGAAAATGGAAAATACTGGGATCAAAGTTTTTCCTTAATTATAGTAGTTTGTGTAGAAAATGGGAAATACTGTGATCAAAGTTTTCCATTAACTATACTACTTTTCATAGAAAAAATACTCGTATCACAGTTTTTCCTCAACTATAGTCCTTTGCATAGAAAATGGGACATACTAATGTCAAAGTTTTTCCTTAACTATAGTAGTTTGTATAGAAAAAATACTGGTATCAAAGTTTTTCCGTAACTATAGTACCCTGTATAGAAAATAGGAAATACTGGGGTCAATGTTTTTCATTAACTATAGTAGTTTGCATAGAAAATGGGAAAACAAGTATCAAATTTTTTCCTTAACTATAGTCCTTTGTATAGAAATTGGAAAATACTGGTGTCAAAATTTTTCCTTGACTGTACTACTTTGTATGGAAAATGGGAAATTCTGGTGTCGAAGTTTTTCCTTACAGTATTTTGTATGGAAAATGGAAAATACTGGGATCAAAGTTTTTCCTTAATTATAGTAGTTTGTGTAGAAAATGGGAAATACTGTGATCAAAGTTTTCCATTAACTATACTACTTTTCATAGAAAAAATACTCGTATCACAGTTTTTCCTCAACTATAGTCCTTTGTATAGAAAATGGGACATACTAATGTCAAAGTTTTTCCTTAACTATAGTAGTTTGTATAGAAAAAATACTGGTATCAAAGTTTTTCCGTAACTATAGTACCCTCTATAGAAAATAGGAAATACTGGGATCAATGTTTTTCATTAACTATAGTAGTTTGTATAGAAAATGGGAAAACAAGTATCAAATTTTTTCCTTAACTATAGTCCTTTGTATAGAAATTGGAAAATACTGGTGTCAAAATTTTTCCTTGACTGTACTACTTTGTATGGAAAATGGGAAATTCTGGTGTCGAAGTTTTTCCTTACAGTATTTTGTATGGAAAATGGAAAATACTGGGATCAAAGTTTTTCCTTAATTATAGTAGTTTGTGTAGAAAATGGGAAATACTGTGATCAAAGTTTTCCATTAACTATACTACTTTTCATAGAAAAAATACTCGTATCACAGTTTTTCCTCAACTATAGTCCTTTGTATAGAAAATGGGACATACTAATGTCAAAGTTTTTCCTTAACTATAGTAGTTTGTATAGAAAAAATACTGGTATCAAAGTTTTTCCGTAACTATAGTACCCTGTATAGAAAATAGGAAATACTGGGGTCAATGTTTTTCATTAACTATAGTAGTTTGCATAGAAAATGGGAAAACAAGTATCAAATTTTTTCCTTAACTATAGTCCTTTGTATAGAAATTGGAAAATACTGGTGTCAAAATTTTTCCTTGACTGTACTACTTTGTATGGAAAATGGGAAATTCTGGTGTCGAAGTTTTTCCTTACAGTATTTTGTATGGAAAATGGAAAATACTGGTATCAAAGTTTTTCCTTAATTATAGTAGTTTGTGTAGAAAATGGGAAATACTGTGATCAAAGTTTTCCATTAACTATACTACTTTTCATAGAAAAAATACTCGTATCACAGTTTTTCCTCAACTATAGTCCTTTGCATAGAAAATGGGACATACTAATGTCAAAGTTTTTCCTTAACTATAGTAGTTTGTATAGAAAAAATACTGGTATCAAAGTTTTTCCGTAACTATAGTACCCTGTATAGAAAATAGGAAATACTGGGGTCAATGTTTTTCATTAACTATAGTAGTTTGCATAGAAAATGGGAAAACAAGTATCAAATTTTTTCCTTAACTATAGTCCTTTGTATAGAAATTGGAAAATACTGGTGTCAAAATTTTTCCTTGACTGTACTACTTTGTATGGAAAATGGGAAATTCTGGTGTCGAAGTTTTTCCTTACAGTATTTTGTATGGAAAATGGAAAATACTGGGATCAAAGTTTTTCCTTAATTATAGTAGTTTGTGTAGAAAATGGGAAATACTGTGATCAAAGTTTTCCATTAACTATACTACTTTTCATAGAAAAAATACTCGTATCACAGTTTTTCCTCAACTATAGTCCTTTGTATAGAAAATGGGACATACTAATGTCAAAGTTTTTCCTTAACTATAGTAGTTTGTATAGAAAAAATACTGGTATCAAAGTTTTTCCGTAACTATAGTACCTTGTATAGAAAATAAAAAAATCCTGATATAAAAGTTTTTCCTCAACTATAGTACCCTCTATAAAAAAAATACTGATATCAAAGTTTTTCCATTGAGAAAACGTTTCGTAGAATGTGTAGCATGGAATAACAATTAATGAGGATTGTATTTGTTTTTGAGGAAGATTCTGATCTCTTATCTCTCTCGCCACGTACTCTGTGTTTGGAGTTCTGAGTTCTGTTTGCTAACAAGCAACGTCACAGTTCATTAACTGTTTCTCGGAATCATCGATAGATATGAAAACAAAAAACACGCGCCAGAGAAAAAGAATTGTTGACTCTGGCCATAAATTAGATACGGAATTTAAGTTTGCTGATGTAAGAGAGCTTTTAGAATCACATTTCGAAGACCGGATGATTTAATTATAGTAGATAGGTATGTTAATTCTTGAGTAACGAGACTGATACTCCAGACACTCCTAAAATATTTGCAACGCAAACAATGACTGCAGATTTTATGGGTAAATTGCTTTTCGAGCTATTGCGTGTGCAACAGGTAATTAGAATTTTAAGGAATGTTGGATGTTATCGACCTTCTTTTGATGGAAATTTACATTTCAATTTTATATTCTTTGTTTACTTCATTTCTGAACGCAATTAACACATTTTGGTTAACATATTTTAACAATTAACATTATTTTAATTTCATTTAATTTATTTTAATTTAATTTGATTTATAGTTTTGTTTTGATTTTAATTTTATTTTATTTTTGATGCTTTTTTTATTTGAAACAAGCGGTCATTTGATCAATTAACATTATTTTAATTTTATTTAATTGATTTTGATTTTAGTTTTGTTTTGATTTTAATTTAATTTAATTTTATTTTGGATGTTGGTTTTTATTTGAAACACAAGCGGTCACCCATCCTGTACTGGACACAGCCACCACAGCTTAACTTTGATGACCGCGCGAGGACAGATGCACTGCAAGGTGCAACAACCCTTAACAAAGTTTCTTTTTTAATTTATCCGTAATCAATAAATAACCAACAAGGTTTTTTTACATTTATAGCGTATCGCAATTATAGTGTACGAATACACTAAACTGTACATATTTTCCTACTGTAACAATACAATTTTAAATTCATTAAATAATTATTAATATTAATTTAAAAGTGAAGAAAATCCAAAAATTTCAAATCGTTTTGAAAAAATTATTTTTGGTTGCAGGAGTTAATTACAATCATTTTTGGTGAAGACACATACCCCTGAAATCTTACGCATTTCAGAGAAAAAAATTCCAATAGGGGGCAAATTTTTCAACGAAATTAAATAATTTCGAATCATTCTAAAAAAATTATTTTCGGTTGTAGGGGTCAATCACAATCATTTTTTGTCATAATACATACCCCAAAAATCCTACTCAGTTTCGAGAAAAAAATTCGAATAAATGGACAAATTTTCGACAAAATTAAAAATTTACAAATCATTCTAAAAAAATTATTTTTGTATGCAGGGATCAATTTTAATTATTTTTTGTCAAAATACATACCCCCGAAATCCTTCTCAGTTTCGAAAAAAAAATTGGAATAGATGGACAAATTTTCGACAAAATTAAAAAATTTCAAATCATTCTAAAAAAATTATTTTTGGTTATGGGAGTCAATTTCAATCATTTTTGGTGAATACACATATCCCCGAAATCTTACGCACTTTCGAGAAAAAAATTCGAGTAGATGAACAAATATTTTGATGAACTTAAAAATGTTTAAAAAATCATAACTCCCGAACGAATTGAGCGATTTTAATGTTTCAAAATGCAAACGACGCGTATTTTAGCGAAGAATATTTACAAATTCTAAAAATGTTCCAAAAATTGTTCCTCAACCCAGTAAACTTCGAAAAACTGATGGTCCAATTCCTCTTATGCAACTTGAATTTAAAAAATTTAAAATATAACAAAATTGGTCGACTAAAACACTGTAATGGCTAAACATCAAATCACGAAAGTCCAGCTCACAAAATATTTTCAAAATATTCGTGCAGCCTCCATCGTGAAATCAACAAGATTAAACCACTAATAACAGAAAAATTCGAGAAAAAGTCGGTCGGAGTCGAGAAATTTTGAGAACGGTATGGCTAGCTAACCGCGAGGACGCATATCGGGGGATCAGGCCCACTCGAGTCCCCCCGGGCCACTCGACACCAAATCGGACAGAATCCGTCAGAAATCTGTCACCGTGGCACAATGGTCCCCTTGGACGATTTTACCTACGCGCAGGAACACGCGCGGAGGGAAAGGGACGAGAGTCGGCAGGAATGCAAGTAGGTGGGCCCACCGCCACCTATATTTGACACCTTTCAGTCCAATAAAATAAAATGGTTCGGGTGGAATGTGGTCCTCCGGTTTCCACGCCGGACGCGTAATGTCCCTGGCCCTCGCCGCGAGCCTCGATCGTCCAGTCCCTCTCCAACGCCCGTGGATAACATCTCCGGGACACGGTGATAAGGGTTAGTCGACTCCCTTCGCTGAATCCTGACGCGCGATCTCGATTCTATCTTTCGAAATTACCGGGGGACCGTTTCGTGGAACCGAGTCGACGATCGAACGAGAAAACGTTGTTACAGGAATGTTAACACTTCGTAATGCCAATCGAGTACTTTAGAAAGCATCTCGATCGTCCAACCGTGCCCAATGGCGTCCATTGTGACTGGGCTCTGATATACGTCCGCCCCTTTGTGATCGAGGATCAATTTTGAAACTGTGTCCCGGTTAAATTTTTCCTCGCCTCGTTGAATGGGACACGTGCACCTAACGACGCGGATTTTCCACCCTTCTACACTTCGCCTCCCGGATGTTTGCGTGGGAGAGATGATCTAGTGAACTCTGACTGGTAAACGTTTAACAACTCGATCTTTAATCGTCCTATGGTGCTCGAGGCATATAAAAATTCACGAATTGATCTTCTCTTTCTCCGTGGGGATCGCGTACATGGGCACCTCGTTGTACTCTTTGGGTGGCAGGAATCTGAAATGATTCCAAGTAAATAACGTTGCAAGAGTGTTCTGGGATGAAATTGTGTACCTTTGCACTATGGGTGGGAAGTGATTCCTGTCGACGTCCTTTAGGTCCTTCACTCCGAACATCAAGCTGACCAGAGTGCCCACCACCATCACTATGAGGAATCCCACTAAAGTGTAGTACATGAAGGATATGGTGTAGAGGATGAATGGTTTGTCTTCTGGGCTCTGTAAAGTAGGGATCTGGACGATCGTCGCGTTGAACAGGCTCTCCACGTTGGTGCAATTCTCTGTGGAGGTGGGCAGAGGCGGGTAGACCAATCGTTTCTGCGCCATGTTCACTTGCGCCCCCAATATCACCCAAACCATGAAGATCATGGAGAGCAATCCTCCGGTTATGGCGCCTTTCGTGGTGGCCCAGGGTATCAGCATTCCTAGGGTGAAAATTCCCAGCATGGCGCCGCCCGTGACCCCGTGCAGGGTCATGGAGAGCTGGAAGATGTCGCTCAGACGGTCCACGATGAACACCATCGCCATGCATATTGTGCCAGCCACCACCACTGTACCCTAGAAATTTTAACATTTTTTTTTTATATATAAAAAATTGAGAATACCAATTTGCTGATTGAGGCTTCGTTAAAAAGTTAGTCACGTTTTAGGTGGATATTCAATGTATTTTTTTTTGGTCCATTTTTCAGAATTTTTAAATATTCTTTGTCGAAATACGCGTTGTTTGTGTTTTGAAATATTAAAATTCTACAATCTGTTGAAGATTTGCGATTTTTTAAATTTTCACTTGGAATTTGGGGGTACCATTACTGATTATAGAGTATATTTTCGATAAAGAATTTTTTTTCTCGGAAGTGCGTAGGATTTCGGGGGTATATCTGTTGACCAAAAATGAGTAAAATTGACTCCCCTAGCTAAGAATAATTTTTTTAGAACGATTTGAAATTTGTTAATTTCGTCGAAAATTTGGTTCACCTACTCGAATTTTTTTCTCGAAACTGAGTAGGATTTCGGGGGTATACCTGTTGACCGAAAATGATAGTAACTGACCCCTACAACTAAAAAGAATTTTTTCAGAATGATTTAGAATTTTTTTTTGTTCGTCGAAAAATTTAGGCAGCTATTTCCTGTCGATTTTTCTTAAAAATTCGTTTTTGATTTTTAATTAATTTAGTTGACGTTGTACGAAAATTGTGTTTAATACTTTTTTATAGGTATAAATTAACTCTACTTCCCCCGAAAATTTCATTCAAATATATTCACTATTGTAGGAGTTATGGCTGTTTGAAAATTGGACCAATTTTTATGGGGAAAATTGACCATTTTTTCACTTTACGGGGTCAAAGAATAACTTTTTCAATATTGTTAGAATTTGTAAATATTCTTTACTAAAATACGCGTTGTTTGCATTTTCAAACATTAAAATCCTTCAATCCGTTCAAAAGTTATGACGTTTTAAAGATACATATGAAATTTTGGAGTGACATTTCTGGCCTTAAATTATATTATTCGATATGGAATTTTTTTCTCGAAAATGGTTAGGATTTCGAGGGTATGACTATTGACCAAAAATGATTACAATTGATCCCTGGAACGGAACATAATTTTTTCAAAATGATTTGAAATTTTTTAATTTCGCCAAAAATTTATCCACCTATTCGATTTTTTTTCTCAAAACTGAGTAGGATTTCTGGGGTATGTATTTTGACAAAAAATAATTGTAATTGATCCCTGGAACGAAAAATAATTTTTTTAAAATGATTCGATATTTTTTAATTTCGCCAAAAATTTATCCACATATTCGATTTTTTTTCTCGATACTGAGTAAGATTTCGGGGGTATGTCTATCCACCAAAAATGATTGTAATTGACCCCTACAATCGAAAATAATTTTTTCAAAACGATTTGAAATTTTTTAGTAACTTTTTAATGGAGCCTCTATCAAGAAATTAATATTCTCGATTTTCGTCTTATTCTGGCCTCTAGAATCTCCCATTAAAACTTTCCCCATGAAATTATAAAAAAAACATGACCCATGAAACTCAGGAAGTTAAAATAAGAAAAAAAATCGATCTTTCGCAAGCATTCGATATCGTCAATTTCTTTGCAATTTATTGACCATAAACTTGAGCAATAATTCAAAATTTTATCACAACAAAAAATTATCTACGAAGAAAGAATACTTCAGCGCCTATAATAAATAATAGAAACTAAACTCTGATAAAGAAATTACAAAAATTAAATTATCCACATAATTCTACGTTAAAAATATTAGCTACTATCATTAAAAAAAAATTTTAGTACATTTGTTTATTCATTAAATAAAAAAACATTCTTGCCATAACTTCCTAACAAAGCATTTATGAATAACACTTTAGTCTTATTTTTACCTAGTAAAATTACCTAATTTTTGCAATTACTAAAAAAACACAACTTTGTCAATTTATTCGAAACGTTAGAATTTTTGTAAAAATAGTTCCTCCATACTTTCATGATATTCGCGGCTCTGGCCTCTTTATCGTTGCTGTTGGGCAGCCAGGGATCGATGAAATCCTCGTAAATTGTGCCAGCGACTGTGTTCAAATTAGCGCTCATTGTGGAGAGGCCAGCGCTGACGAGACCAGCGAGAAAGAGACCCGAAAGTCCCGGAACATCCTCAGCAACGTCCAACACATAATACGGTAGTAATTGGTCGCTCCTCGCGATCACCTGGAAACCAATTCGCCCGTCATTATTCCCCCACCCAAAACAGAATCCCCAAAGAAACTTACGTGAGATTTTATGGGATCGCACTTGTGGTACCTGGCGTACATAATCAGCCCAGTGAAGACAGACACCCACTTTATAAGTATCAAACACAGCCCCATGAACCCTATCGCCCTAAAAAAAAAAATAATATTACTCAAAATCATTAGAAAATCATCTTCCACTCACTTGTGAGCTTCTCTGATGTTTGGAACGGCCAGAAATCTCTGCATGGACATCTGATTGATCCCCAGGCTGGACAGCCAGGTCATAGACATCCCCATAGACATCGCCCAGAAGGAGTTCCTCACGTATGGGCTGGGATCCATGCTAGAAACCAAGGAAAGTTAAAAAAAGAAACGCAAAATTCCGAAAAGGTTCAAAAAAGTCGTACTTCCAGAAGACGATTCTGTGGCCCTCCTCGGCTACCCTCCAGATCTCCTGCACTCCACCCACAGCCAGGATGCCCAAAGTGAACACTGCAAAGAGGCTGCCCAGGGTTATGGTCATCTGGATGGTGTCCGCCCAGACCACCGCCTTCAGGCCACCCTGAACGTTTCGAAACGGGGATTTATCAGCTCTTATCGCGTTTCGAACGCTACCGGTTCCACGCGTGTGTTTGACATAGGCAAACTGGGGGGATCTTGAATCGCTGATAGAGCCCCAGGAGCGTTTCGCAACCGGGATGTTTGTAAACACCGTTGTCGGTCTGCGTTAATTTTAGAACGTGGACTTACTATGGTCGTGTAGAATATGCACACGATGCAGATCACCGGGGTGATCAGGTGCAGGTTGATGGACGTTGCCTGTGAGAACGCTAGAGCTGGCACGTAGATGATGAGGGGAACGTAGAGGAGCAAGGACAGGGTGTAGAGGAACGAGGCCAGGACTCGAACTGATCTCGTGAACCTCAGCTCCAGGTACTCGAAGGTGCTCTTCAGTTGTAGCTGGTAGAATACTGGCAAGTAGATGAGGGAGATCAGGCTGCACGATATGATGGACGTGAAGACGCAGGCTGCGTACTGCGTGCCGTATTGATAGACTTCGACTGGCACGGCCAGCAGAGAAATTGCGGATATGTGACTGGAAATTGAACGCAAATTTAGTGTGAATCGAACGTTTTTTATGAGAATTCTTGATTACCTGGCGATGAGACTCATGCTGACGGGGAAACAGGACATGGTTTTACCGCCGAGTAAGTATTCGGTGGTGTTGTCCTGTTTCTTGCCGAAACAGCCGAAATAGATCCCTATGGCGACACTGATACCTAGGAGACTGCTGAAAAGGACGTAGTCGGTCCATCCGAACGTGAGTTGCTTCAGCTCGAGCCCAGGTAGCTCTGATCTCGTCTCGTTCTCCGCCATTCTGAAATTAATTGACAATTTTTTAACGTCCGTAGCTTCTAGGATAGCTGATGTATTTTAATGAAATTTATTTCTGTGATGGAGCTCGTGGGTAGCTACAAAAAAGTATTAGACAACTTTTCTATAGGGCGTCAAACAAAATTACTAAAAATCAATAACGAATTAGGTGCGTTCGATCAATTACGAAGGTGCCTTTTTTCGGCGAAATTGGAAAGTTTCAAATCTTTCTGGAAAAATTATTTTTAGCTGAGGGAGTTAATTATAATCATTTTTGGTAAATAGACATACCCTCGAAATCCTGCTCAATTTCGAGAAAAAAATTCGAACAGGTGGACAAATTTTTCGACGAAAAAAAAAAATTTGGAATCGTTTTAAAAAAAATATTTTTATCTAGGGGGGTTAATTTCAATCATTTTTGGTCAATAGACATACCCTCGAATTCCTAACCATTGTCGAGAAAAAAATTCCTTACCGAACAATATAAACTTCAGGCCAGAAATGTTGCCCCAAAATTTCATGCGTATCTTTAAAACGTCATAACTTTTGAACGGATTGAAGGATTTTAATGTTTAAAAATGCAAACAACGCATATTTTAGTAAAGAATATTTACAAATTTTAACAATATTGAAAAAGTTGTTCTTTGACCCCCTAAATTGAGAAAAACCCCATAAAAATGGTCCAATTTCCAAACGATCATAACTCCTACAATAGTGAATATATTTCAATGAAATTTGGGGGAGCAGTAGACCTCCTATGTACCTACAAAAAAGTATTAAACAAAATTTCTGTACAGCATCAAACGAATTTACTAAAAATGAAAAACGAAATTTTAAGAAAAATCGACAGGTGCCCTTTTTCGGCCAAAAACAAAATTTTCAAATCTTTCTAAAAAAATTATTTTTAGCTAAGGGGGTTAATTACAATCACTTTTTGTGAATAGACATCCCCCCAAAATCCTGCTCAGTTTCGAGAAAAAAATTCCAATAGATGGACAAATTTTTCGACGAAATTAAAAAATTTCGATTCCTTCCAAAAAAATTATTTTTAGCCGACGGTGTTAATTACAATTATTTTTGGTAAATAAACATACCCCCGAAATCCTGCTCAATTTCCAGAAAAAAATTCGAATAGATAGTCAAATTATTCAACGAAATTAAAAAATTTCCAATCGTTCAGAAAAAAATATTTTTCGATACAGGGTAAAAAATTCGGGTAGCTTCCAAAATTTATTTAATTAAAAAATCGAAAATTCAAACTTCCGTTATCGCGAATAAAAAGTGATTAAACCCAATGTTCACTTGGCCCCTAATCTACTATTATTTATAAAAACAGATATATTTATAGCACTCACGTCTCAGTTTCCTGTTTCTCTCGAGCTACCCGGTCGCAGTCTCATTCGCGTTCGTCAACTATTGGTTCGACGGATTTTTAAATTGTCCACATACATTTAATCTTATCGGAAAGATACAATGATTTCGTTTTACGCTTAGAAAAGTATCCGACGAACTCTACATTACTACTGACAACGATGATGTTAAAACCGATGCTATATGTTTATCTGATATTGCACGGTACATCAACCTAATTTACGATGGACAGATAAAGATGTTTTTCTCGGTATTCCGCAAACGGTTAGGCATCCTTAAATCAATGTCTAACTAGGCCCTAAATTATTCTGTAACCGTTATCGTGGCGACCTTGTTCGTCAAAGAAATATTATAATTTTCGTTAGTTGTATAATTCCCCATGACGAGGCATAGAATTCGAGAAATATTAACTACAAACTGCGATACAAATAAAATATAAACACCGTTGCTGTCTCAAACGATTCCAGTTTATTCGAATACAACAAAGCAAGAATATGTGTGTATTATTTTTTTTTTTTTAAGATACTCCATATAACAACCATTCTGTCAATTGTTGCATTCTTTGTTGTCTTTCCATATCGCTACAATTTTGTAAGAGATCGTCTAAAGTCTTCTTTTCTTCAGATTCGAGCTCCTCCAGAAGGATGAGAGGCTTGATGACCATACTTGGAAGCGTAACGTCGTGGTAGAGGAAGATCTGTAAGTACTCTTCAATATTTTTAACTTCTCTTTAAAAAAATCATTCAAAAATATCACTACCTTGTTATTGAAAGTATTGTACACGAGACAGGGCGTTGAAATTCCTGGAGAAACGTTGTAGTTGCCTGTACAAAATGCTCTGACTGGCTCTTCGAACTGAAAACGTACGCTGTTTCGTTGTTGATCTAAAATATAAGTCTGTCCATCCCACGCGCAAGCAACTATTTCATCAGAACCGTCTCCGGTTACGTCTAATCTGCACAGAGCAAATATCATACGATCTACTTGCATAGACCTAAAAAAATAAACGTGTAAGCTATAAATAACTATTGTTAAGCGATGGAAAATTTTTCAATCTCACCATAAAATAACTTCGTCCTTGACTAACATTATTGTCCCGTCTAAAGTTGCAAGAGCGTAAGGCTTTCCTTGAGACGAACTATTTTTCATGTTCGTGTTAGCTTCAATTTTATCTTTCTCTTTTACACGTTCAATATTATTATTATTGCTACTATCCGAACAACAGAAATCTTTATAAGTGGGCAACAACGAATCTTTCTCCGTTTTCGTATCGTACTCGCCAAGAATTAAATTCCCCCCCAACAAATTGCCATCGACTTCGTCTATGTTAGAACAATCAGCTTTTTCTGGAACTTTCCCTACTTTGTAACTTTCTATCCTAGAAGTTTTTTCTTTCTCGCGTTCTTCCGCCGCATCTAAATTCTCTTTCTCCGCTTCAAATTGCGAAGCATTCCCTGTAAATTCCTGCGAGTCAGATTTCAAATTTATATCCTGCTTAATCGAGCTCGAAACATTCTGTTTAAAGTCTTTGCACTCGTCAGTCATTTTATTCTCCAGCGTGGATTCCAGATCTCCTATAATTTCTGTTGAAATATTCTGATTGCGCATGCGCGATATTCCCAATGTTTGGTAATCCACGCAGCTCGCTGCCGACTCGTCGTCAGTTTTGTGAGCTTCGTCTTCCAAGTGGCAATCCTTGGGGTTACATTTTATTCGCATAAACGTTCCTCCGGGTTGAGCAACTAATAACGTTGGCGTCCCATCCGCCATATGCTGAACAGGAATCGAACAATTATTATTACTGTAAAATTTGTTTTCAATTAATCCCAGAGTGACCGTACCTGCAGCGTAACTGTTCCTATTTGATTGGTACACTCCCATTTATTTAATCCAACTAACTTTCCTCTTCCTAGTTCTAAATTGCTCGACCATCTGTAAGACCTAACTACGCGATCGGTCAAGCCTAATATCATCTCGTTTGCACCATCTTTATCAACATCAGCTACTAGTACTACTTTTGTATTCGTTGGGATTCTTTGTACATGGACACATTCCATTTTACCAGACAACTCGTTTGCTTCGCTATTACCGTCCGTTTGATCCGAACTCTGTGAATTTGTCATGTTAACACCTGTTGCTGTATCCATACCTGGATGACCTATAATTTTTATAATCTGCAGATTATAATTTCTCTTGATCGAAAGATAATATAGTTTTTAGCTCACCGGTCTTAATGTTATCTTGATCGGTTGTTTCCTTAGCTGACTGTTGAGTAGATGTTGCGTTAATAGTACTGGGATTCACAGATCTTGGACCGTAAAAGATATGCGCCCATCCATCCCCGCAAATTACGACTAACGCGTTTCGGCCATAATTAAAAATATCTCCTATAGCAACGCTAGTAACAAGGCCTAAACCTGGTATTTTTTGCCATAGCTCTGATCCCTGTTGAACATCGATTGAAAATAATTTGTCCAGTATCTAAAGAATTTAACCCCTTGCCGCACAATTACGACTCTGACTCATAAGTTCTTGATGTCAAGTTTCACAATCATGAGGCTACTCACTCGTCATCGAGTCTTATATATTAAAATCAACACATTTTTACATTTACTAGGTACTCATAAAACAAATCTATTCTTCTCAGTATAAAGTTATTAACGAATAACTTACTTTGAAAATATAAAGTTCTCCCTCCGCAGTACCAACAACTAATTCATTGTCACCGTCATTATCAACATCTCCTATCGTTAATCCATGTCTGCATACTGTGCCAGGTAAATCCCATTGCAGTCTTTTAACAAAACTGACGGCCCTCATTGTTAAACTAAATTTTATCCAGCTGGTGCTTTTGATACATTTAACGGGAATCTATGATTTAACATGGAAGGTTGAAGGCATTGCAATCTACTAAGTGGCCATATTATATGAGTAGCTTTAGCAGTTATTAAACCGATAGAAACTGGTCCAAAAATATTAGAATCCGTAGAGCGGTTAATGTTATCTCCTTCTACCCAACAATGACCTTCCGGTACCTGATACAAAAAAGCTTTCGTTAACCATTTAAATAATATAGTCGTTCATAGTAGAATGAGTCAAATACCTGCAATACTTCTAACTTATATCCATGCGTATGTATAATATCACCGGCAATTCCTACGACACGTTTAATCAAAGTTTGCTCCGGATGTTTTGGCGACGTAAGGGCTACTACTTCGCCACGTTTAATATCTTGATTATTAGCAGCCCAACGGTTCAGAATAACGTAATCAGTATTGTCTTTATTTGGGTTCAAAGTTGGCCACATTGAGATTCCATCTACCTTGGATATGGAACCAACCGTGTCCAAAAAGACAATCCCAAAAGGGACGCCCACAACAAGACTTCCTAAAAATCGTCGTATTCCCATCTATCGTACTTACGTATTAAGAACGTTAAAATATTTTTAAATTGCACAGGCTCTATGGTGCATGTTCACGATTTAATCACGTTCATTAATTCCAAAACTTTATCTGCAAAAAAAAAAAAACAATAAACAGAACTCGTTGATTGTAAATAATTTAAGAGGTTAAGTAAACATATTTACAAAGTCGAATTGAAAGAAAATTAATTTACTAAAAATTCTTTCAATACCATAGAATTTATTTCGAAAGGAAGAATCTCATAAATTGTAAATCCAATTTAAATATACGTTACGACGATAATTCAAACAAAGAACTTACATAGACAGAGTTTATTGAGAAATTATATAACCATAGAAATACACGGCATGGTATCAGTCAAATTAGAAACAAATTTTCGCAATAAATAAATTTTCGTCGACCATTTTAAGCTTTGTATAAAATATTACTTTATTTCCTTCGCATATCAAATAAAATTTATCGTAAACGAATATTCCGAATTAGATTTAGAAATTAAAATATTTTATTTAAAAATGTTATGTATTGTTTAAAAAATTGTTATTTAATGGGCTAAGAAGGGGTACAAAGTTCAATATAATATTATTTATTTTTCTAGCAACGATATTGAAAATGACAATTACACTGAAACATGTAAATAATTTAATGTTTTAAAAAATTACTAGAAACGTGTCTGTTTCAATAACAATCTAATTACATTTAAAATTAATTGATCTATGTTAAAAACATTGTGTTTAAAGTACAAGATATTTTGAACACTTTTAAGACTAGGAATCATTCGATATCGCGGATAATAAATGTTAATATATTTCGAGAGCTAGCTTATTAATAATGTTACAAAAAATGCGGCAGCATTGCGTCTTCGAAATACTCGGATTTATATTTATTTTCAATTCAGGATTGTAACACTTTTAATAGAAGTTACGGTAACTTTATAAAATACCATAATGTAGAGAGTAAATAAAAAAATTATTTTATTTTCAATGTACGTATATTTTCTATACAATTTGTAAACTTAACAATTTCCCGCATTTTTTGCTTATTATGATTTGACGATTAATTCTATCTATTTGTACAGATATTATATAACAATACTAACAGCTTCATCTCGCAATAATTACAGAAAAAATTAATGGCGTACGCATGTATATACATTAGAATACATTGTTAACGTAATCGTGCAATTGAAACAAATATTCGCGTAATATTACATTGAACTTCGCGTTTTACTTTTTTTGCATTTTTACATAATGAACAGCACGCAATCATACGCATGAATAATAAATATTATACTTTGTGTTTGCATCTAATATACAATAATTGCATGATTAAGCATAGGTATGAAAATGACAATACTACGTACTAAATGACTTTGTAGACTACGTTATTAAAAAATACATTTAAATGTAACTCAAATACTACATATAGGATGCCATAGAAAATTGATTCGTTGATATTAATAATAAAAAAAAAAAATAAACGAATAAAAGTAAAATTACAATAGCATGTTGAACAGAAACGACTGGCATGTGTGTGCACAAGCATACAGATCAGTGCTTGCCAATCACCATACCCAATTGATAATAAGTATCGTGACAATATCGATCACTATAGTGTCCATTGACCGTATTACAATTCTGCGATCATTATTGCACAATGACACTATTGGACATGTACACGAAGCACTGCCTCTTACTTGGCCCCTCCGATTAATGAATTTCTGACTTTATTGAGTATAGAATACAACAGGCAATAATGTAAGCATGTAGTAAATTAGAGTCTTGTGAAATTAGGTGTTCGACAGTGCTCGACCAACATTTTATTCCCTCATTATCCGATTGATTTAATTATTTACTTCTTCTTCATCTTCGCTTACTTCTACCTCTGATTCTTCATCTTCAATAACATTTACTTCTGCCTTCGATTTATCATATTCGTTATCACTTACTTCCACCTCTGATTCTTCAGTTTCTACCTCGTATTCTTCAGCTTCGTTATCACTTACTTCCACCTCTGATTCTTCAGCCTCGTTATCACTAACTTCTACCTCTGACTCTTCATCTTCATTATCGCTTACTTCCACCTCTGATTCTTCAGCTTCGTTATCACTAACTTCTACATCTGACTCTTCGTATTCGTTATCGCTTACATCTACCTCTGATTCTTCATCCTCATTATCGCTTACTTCCACCTCTGACTCTTCATCCTCGACACCTACTTCTATTTCAGCTTCATAGTTTTTCCTATCGTCTATCTCTACATTTATTTCTTCCTTGTTGCTTTCATCCATTTCTGCTTCCACTTGTTTCCTCGCATGGTCTTTATTTACATCCTCAGTTTCTTGCGTCTCATCTTCTTTTCTACATTCAACCGTTCCAACTTCTTCCTGATTTTCTTCTTCGAATTCCTGGTTAAGCGAAATAATATTAAACACTTTTAATTTCATTGTTACACGATATGTAAGATCTAAATTGTAGCAAAGTATCTAATTTTGATGTTTAAACTGTGTACTAATTAGAAGCTCTGTGGAACTCCTGTAAGAAACGTTAAATGCATTCGGTTAGTTCGATTAATGTGTTGTTCGCAGTTTCGTGAACGAAATCATAAAACATGTGTAAATTATTAATTCCTAAAGTTATAAGCACATGTTAATCGTGGTAATAATAAAGGTGTGGAATGTTTAATGTGTGCGGCTTAATCTAGAATTAACAGATAAACAACAGATCCAATACGTAATACAAATTAGATATTAATATCTAAAACAAATCACAGACTGTAAGCAATTATTACTGCATAGTGGCAACGTCAGCACCGAATTTATGTAAGTCGTTACTAAAAGATCTTTTTTACATTTCACGTGGCTCCTGTGATTTGTCATTTTCATATTAAGTAATCTATGTACAAGCAAACAATTAAATGAATGAAAGAATCACCAGTATAAATAAAACAAGGCTCCACAGATTTTATTCGATTCTGTTGATAATTCTAATGTTTTCTTACAGCTGCATTTTGGTCGAGACTGATAAGGGAGAGGATCATTTTGCCTGAGAGTACGACAGGTGCTTCTGCATCCTCTTCCGCCTTTTGAGCTTGCGTTTTTGAATCTGTTACAAGTAATTCACATTGCGGTGGAAGTGCACCTTCTAAATATATTGGCTTAGGCGGTGTTTTCTCCCTCTCAACATGGCTAAAATAATTAAGCTTTTGTCGTTGAAAATTTCGACTTAATATGTGTATTATTTGAGTTATGTTTACCTGGGTGAAATAGGTATTATAGGAGTAGTAGGTCTACTACCTTTACCCTCGCAACTAGCTGTCATTTCCATACCCATAACTTTAACAGTCGGTGAATTTTCAATATTTTCTACTTCTTTGTCTGTTGCACTACGATCAACCTGGACATCGGTATCGTCCTGAAAATTAAATCATCAGAATGAGCGATCACATGTAAAACATAATTGCACGCTATTGTACCATCAAATGTACTTAATGAATGCTACGCTATGAAGATTAATACTTCTAAATCAAAATGACAAAGTAAATGTTACTATTTAATCTCCTTTGCGGTGGTAATATACTGTTCACAGAAAAATCACACGCCTAAAAAAATGTACAGGGTGTTCGTGCAACCCTGGGAAAAATTTTAATAATATATAAAATATAAAAAGTCCATGCTGGTTTGTCTAGAAAAAACACGGTGTTATTTAAAAAAAATAAACATCAAAAACTTGCAATATTGTTCATCGTATGTTTTAGCGTACGTGTTATAAGTATTGTCATACATTGTTTAAGTAAATTTTTAAATATTGTTACTTTAGGGTTGAGTCCCTAGTATCTCAATACATAAGCCTTAAACACAATAAATGTATTACTTTTGGTTATTCTTGTTAAGAAACTTTTAAGGCAAAGAATATACCTTAGACAAGCGATCGACCCCTGCCAGATCTTTGGACTTTGGAGGCCCATCTACTATTTAAATATAAAAATGAGAACTATGAATTCTATTACTTAATAAAATATGAATACGCACTTTTCATTAAGACAGAGTATTTACAACATTAATAATAAATAATTTAGAAACGGTTACCCAGAAGCGTTGGAAATGTAGAAGCAAAAAATTTTGAAAATTTTGTTGCGTATAACGTACAACAGGATAGATAAAGCTTGAAACGCAATCAGAACACAACAACGTGCACATTTCTAAGGGCTAAAGAAACTGAAAATGTAAATTGCTTCAAAATTTGTCTAGTAAACCTTGTGTTCTTGTTGCGAGCTTGGACTATGCATAACCGAACGTGATATGTTGCCCATCTGGACAACAATTCTTTCCATGGCTGCTTCCGTCTCGACCAAACGTCGTCTCAGTTGATCTATCTCTATGTCTCCTGCCGCTTCTTGTGTTCCAGCATGTATAACATTACCAAATGTGTTCAGAGACTGTACACAAGTACTTACAATATTTGTAATTTTAGCCTAACATCTTTTATTTTTTTTTACTTTTTGTTATATCCGCGATACAAGTACGTGTGTGTTCTAATTGTGCAAACCTTGCATCATGCAACACCATTTAAAAATCTGATTAGATACTCAAAAAAACATGTACCTTATTTTTCAATATTTCTTTAAAGGAAATAGCTTTCGAGGAAAACACTGCATTAATGACGATACTTTGACTATATAACATTAATTAATTCTTATCAGATTCCCATTCTTCGGTACAAATTTTTGCTCCGTTTTGATCCACAGTTATACAGTCAGAGCGATGATACGAATCAAGTGTCATTGATAATTTTTGAACTTATAGAAAAAACTTACGATCGTTTAATTCTTCTATGGTTGGCGCAGGTCTGTGGGGGGATACCGATCTTTCTTTTTGGTGATGCATCGTGCCACTGGTCATCGCACTAGCAAAGGCTTCTGGACTAAATACCATTTTTCGAAATTCTTTCTCTGCAGCAGCTCCTGGATACTCTGAAATTATTTCGCCATCCGAATTTTTCTTCAACACCTAAAAGAAAAGAAAAGAAAAGATCGGTTGATTCTTCTGCTCATCGTAAATACCATACAGTAGCAACAGGTCGTTCACCTTGACGATCGTATACAGGAAAAACAGTACAATGCCTAATGTGTATAGTGGCATAATGATCCCCATTATACCACTTCCTTTCGGTGCAGGAACAACATGTCCTGCACCGCCCAAGGGTGGTCTCATTTTTGGCACAACATGATCGGGTCTATCTACCACCTTTGGAACAATATGAGAGGAAGGTATGGCTCTGCCACGTTCTCTCAATGCAGGATGCAAACCACCCGCATGAGGGGGCGTGCGTCGTTCTTGTCGTATTGTAACTAAAAAAATAAATATTAATTTATAATATATTATTCGTCAAACAAACCTTAAAGCTTCGGTACATGAAATTTCATGGAAATAGTGTTTGTAATCTTTGTACATAGTGGAAGGGATCGTTACATAGATGTATTTGAAACTATGACTATAGGCCAAACTTATCCCCATCTACACATAGATAGTTATACTTGCACTTTTGGAAACTTGCCAAGGTAGAAGGGACAACTTAAATCTGTTTTCCACATATAATTGGTAAATTATTGGCGTGAAAATCATATTTTTAATCGAAAAAAAGAAATACAATTATTGGGTTAGTAGTATTAATACACTTTCAATAATCTTATGTTAAAAGTCAAACAATTGTTATACATGCTATACCTTATTAATAACTACTATCGAAAATTTTGAATAGAACCTTTTTTAATTCTTACTGTGCGGCATTAAAATATGATATCTGATGAGATGTGGAGTTCCTAACTGAGAAAGGGGTATACCAAAATGCATCTTAAGGCAGAGGGAACCATTAAATGATCTGATCTCTTCCAAAACTTGTTTAGAAGATTTCCCCAAGCGTTCTCTTTCGGCGAGAAATGTAGACAAATCTATGCCACATCTGGCTAAAATTTCTTCTCTACATAAGCTCGCGCTTTGCGGCGTCAGTTTTACAGTTTTCAGAACGTCCCTTACTCGTGGATCGACTTGATGATGCTTCAATATGTTCTGACATATTTCATACATAATATCCGCAGCATTGACGTCGCTTTCAAATATTACGTCGCAGCATGCTAACAAATATTTATGAACATAATTTGTCGATGACAAAAGGAAATATCACCAAAACACAGAATTACATTCCATAGTTCAAAGTGTGGCTTAACTGAACGTTACAGAGTACTTAATGCAGATATTATATTTAAATAGTTTAATTCTCCAAAGTTCAATGGTAATAATAATAAAGAATTGAGTGAATTTAAAAATTAGAAAATGTTTCCATATAAAGTCTTATGTCTTTAATATTTATAGAGGAAATAAATTCTTACCAGAACTATCGGGTGTCTGTTGCGGAGTGACAGATGCTGTAAGCATAGGATAGAAAATTTTCGGCCATAATACCGCGAAACACCCAGTCACAATCGCCAGAATGAAAATCGTCTTTCGTGGACCGAAATCCGTTATCTCAGCCATATTCGTATATTCGTCGTTCGTATAACTTTCGCAGTTTCGATAAAAAGGTAAAATGATTACGGGTCTCCCGCTTTCACGTTCAGGGATCGCGAGCGGTTGGAAGACACAGCGCTCTGTCGTCTGCTATTTTTGTCGCGGTACAGGGCTGTCTCTATCAGATTTTGCTCCTAAAATGCTTTTTTTTAACTTACAACTTGAGAAAATTATAAAACATTCTCACGCTAAAACTTTAAAAAAAAAGGGATATTTAAAATTGGAAACTTCTGCAATTTGATAAGTTCCATATGTAAATTATGAAAGATCAAAGTGATCAAGATGGTTTATCAAAAAACTTGTTAAATATATTTAAATGTTGACCGGTTGCCAATAATAATTCTGTAATAATAACATATAGATTATTAAACCGAAATTAATAAATTTGATCAGAATGCTGCTGCTCTCCTCCTAGTGTTAACACACTTCGCTTGTTACAAGAATGAGCCAAAAAGCTGGCCAGAAATAGCAGGTTCTGGCAATGTCACACAGGCGAACAGAGAGACCTTGCCCGATAGGTAGAAGACAGAAATATGTACAACTTGTAGCTAGTCGTCTTGCTTTTATTTATTATAGAACACATTGTACAGAAAGGCGTATGAAGGAAATAACTTAGAAAGCTCTAGTGCCGATGATGCTCCCCACCGGTTACTTAAGGTATTTATTCTGGACCGCCTCTCTGCAAAAGGAAAAGTCATTTAACATAAACTGTCTCAATTAATTTAGACTGAAAAGTGTATTGCATTCGAAGACTATTGGAGTGTTTTTTTTATGCCTTCTGCACCGTGTTAGAATTAGGAGTAACTTGTTGTACGTATGTAGGATATACTTGCATTGATATATGCAATTTCTTTCTCGTCTATGGGTCGCCTTTGAAACCGTGGTGGCAGATAAATGTCCTCTATGGTCGGTAGAACGGTCACATTTGGGCCCGTCGAACGAGCAGCATTTTGTTGAAACGAAGCCGCCCCTGATTGCGCAGGCGATGTGGCGGTTGCACCTGCGGTTGCTAACCAATAACAACATGATTTCAGTTCGGCTTTCACGACGAAAGCATTCGATAACTATCAAACTAGCGTTACCTCTATCGGTTCCACCCTTACGGAATTTAATCATCGGTACATGAGGCTGTACTACCTACGAGAATTCAGTTTACAGAGATTACAAATCCTCTCCATCTATTAACATAGGGCACGTTACAATTATACCGATACACTGACCTTCCAACCTTTACTTGCCATCATAATTTTTGTTTAAAAAGATATCCGGTCGAGGCTGAGGCTAGATTTCGTCTGCAACGGACTCCTATCGGTTCGCTTTGTGCCTTTAGGTAGATGGCGTTTTTTGACATACTTTAGCTAGTACAAAATAATCGCAGACGGCTGTCCGTGCAATGAAAAAACTAATCAGAATATACAATCAGCCTTTCCAATTAAAATGATACAACCATGCAGTAAATTTTCGTTATCAAATCAAAGAACTAAATTTGAAACAAAAAAAACTAGAGATTTAACTTGTAGAGAGCATCGTAACCATGGCGTTTATTAATTTTTGCAATTATTTATTTTTATGTCAGAGTACATTCTAATATCATATTTTAAGGATTCTCGAACAGGTTACAATAAAGATACATATATAATAATAAAGTTTATTTTATTGTAAGTTTAACTTAATCCAAGGATTTTTGGTATTTAAACAAAATTTGGTATGATAAATTAAGTAAGACAATATGATACAGAAAATGAAAATGAGAATGGGTTATTAATGCACCACATAAAACGTGGCTATTTTAACAGTCTTTCGATGACTATAATAAATGACATTAGTTCCTTACGCCCTAAATTCTTACATCTAATCTACTTCTTCCATTCGCGATGCATCGTCTGCTACTTCAACAGCGGGTATATCCTCTGTTTTCTGTTCCTCGGGCGTCGGCTCATCCTCGTCGATACCAAGACCCAGCTTGACCATTCTGTAAATCCTAGCAGCGTGCACTTGTGGCTCGTCCAATGTAAAACCTGAAGAAAGAAGCGCGGTCTCGAACAATAAAATTACTAAATCCTTCACTGCCTTGTCGTTCTTGTCAGCCTCCGCCTTCTCTCTGAGAGTCTCGATGATGGCATGATCCGGATTGATCTCGAGGTGCTTCTTCGCAGCCATGTATCCCATGGTGGACGTGTCCCTGAGAGCTTGAGCCTTCATAATTCTCTCCATATTAGCTGTCCAGCCATACTGAGACGTAACGATGCAGCATGGAGAATCTACCAAACGGTTGGACACCACAACCTTCTCCACCTTGTTGTCCAGAATGTTTTTCATTACTTTGCACAAGTTCTCGAACTTAGCCTTGTCCTCCTCCCTCTTCTTCTTTTCCTCCTCGTCCTCGGGAAGCTCCAGTCCCTCTTTGGTCACAGATACCAGCTGTTTACCATCAAACTCTTTCAGTTGTTGCACTACGTATTCATCGATGGGTTCGATCATGTAGACAACTTCGAAGCCACGTTTCTTGACACGTTCCACGAAGGAACTGTTCGCAACTTGTTCCTTGTTCTCTCCGGTGATGAAGTAAATGTGCTTCTGGTTCTCCTTCATTCTGCCTACGTAGTCCTTCAGAGAGCAAGCTTCGTCACCAGAAGCCGAAGTGTTGTACCTCAGAAGGTCGGACAGTTTACTGCGATTGGCGCTGTCCTCGTGAATACCCAATTTAATATTTTTACTGAACTGCGCGTAGAACTTCTTGTAGCTGTTCTTGTCCTCCGCGAGCTCCTCGAACAGTTCCAGGCATTTCTTGACAAGGTTCTTGCGAATTACTTTCAAGATTTTGTTCTGCTGGAGCATCTCACGTGAGATGTTCAGAGGAAGATCCTCGCTGTCGACGACTCCCTTCATGAAGTTCAAGTACTCCGGGATCAGCTCCTCGCAGTTGTCCATGATGAATACTCTTCTTACGTACAGCTTAATATTATTTTTCCTCTTCTTGTTCTCGAAGAGGTCGAACGGCATGCGACGAGGAACGAAGAGCAAAGCTCTGAATTCCAATTGGCCTTCGACGGAGAAATGCTTGACAGCCAAATGGTCTTCCCAGTCGTTGGTCAGAGATTTGTAGAATTCACCGTATTCTTCCTGGGTGATCTCGTCAGGATTTCTGGTCCAGATGGGTTTGGTCTTGTTCAATTCTTCATCCTCCGTATACTTCTCTTTGATGGTCTTCTTCTTCTTCTTCTTGTCTTCCTTTTCATCTGCAGCTTTGTCTTCTCCTATTTCCTCGATGGCCAGTTTCTCCACCTCCTCCTTAACCTCCTCCGTCTCTTCAGCTTCATCCTCGCTTAGTTCCTTCTCGCGTTCCTTCTGCACGACCAGTTTAATCGGATAGCCAATGAATTGGGAATGTTTCTTAACGATTTCCTTAATTTTGTTCTCCTCCAGATATTCACTCTGATCCTCCTTTACGTGCAAAACAATTTTCGTTCCACGTCCCAATGGTTCTCCGTTGTCGTGTCTGACAGTGAACGAGCCACCGGCGCTGGATTCCCATAAATACTGTTCGTCATCGTTGTTCTTGGAAACAACAGTGACTTTGTCCGCTATGAGGTAAGCGGAGTAGAATCCAACACCGAATTGACCGATCATGGAAATGTCTGCGCCAGCCTGAAGAGCTTCCATAAATGCTTTGGTACCGGATTTGGCAATCGTACCAAGATTATTGACCAAGTCAGCCTTTGTCATACCGATGCCGGTATCGATGATGGTCAGAGTGCCATCGTTCTTGTTCGGAATGATTTTGATGTACAGCTCTTTGCCGCTGTCCAGCTTGGAAGGATCGGTCAAAGACTCGTATCGTATTTTATCAAGAGCATCGCTCGAATTTGAGATCAATTCTCTGAGGAAAATCTCCTTGTTCGAGTAGAAGGTGTTGATGATCAAGGACATAAGCTGGGCAATCTCTGCCTGGAAGGCGAAGGTTTCCACCTCTCCCTCGGTTTCCATTTGCGTAGACATCTAAAACAGGGAAACAAAAAACGTTAAAATTGTTGCATTCGTACATGAAACTAGAAGTAAATCGTTTCTCATAATTTTGTCTTTTTTCCAGAATATTCGATATTAAAGTTACACGCGTAAAATACCGAATTTTCTTTTAAATTTTTTAAATCAACGTTGCGTTAAAAATCTGCGAAAGGGTAGGCACATTTTCGCGAATAAAACACGTGGTTTATAAGTTAAAGCAAAAATGCGAGAATGTTAACGCGATGATCGATTTTGGCGTGCAAATTTCTCGCGAAATATCGAATTTACGCGAAACATTTTATTTACGAAAACGTGCCTGACAAAATGCAACACCGAAATTTCATCGAAACGACACTCGTCTTTTTCACGATTCGAGATACGGGATTAATATTTTTCTAAATACACTGGAAATGCACTGGATATTTTTTAACGTTTGATTTAATGCGATTATACCTTGATGTCCAATATAAAGCGACGTTAAAATACTCTTGTCAGTAACGCACGAACGCAGGCTCAGGCACCTAGCACTTTATTGAATGAAGTGGCGCGTCGATAGGTTCCGCTTTATATACCCACTAAAATTCTAGAACGTTCTAGAACGTTCTAGAAGATTTTTACCTCCCAGAACGGCCAATATCCGGTAGAATTTCGATCCGTTTCGTCAATAATCGAACATACGATATTTCACGTACGTACGAACGACGTTGTTCGTTGAAAAAAAATACGATTTCACGTTTTTCCATTAATCGATCGCGAACTCCGTCGATTCCAGCGACGAAAATTCCGTCGACCCGTTCTTTCCTTAACGTAGTACTTCCGGCATTTGTTCGGCTGAATGAATCGAACATTATCAGACATTTTTAGACACATAAACGAGACATTAATTATCGAAATGTCTCCTGGTAAATCAAACGTCGATCTTTCATTGGTGACAGTCGTTGTTTAATTTGCAACCAACGATAAACAGTAATTATGTTGTTTCGTCTGGATGGATTGTTCTCGAATTCGTCGACGATGCATACGTTTTGTTTATCGCGGAGAAAAAGGATATTCCAGAATGTTCAATAATATTATAGGAACGTAGATTATTTATTTGTCGTTTCTTTTAAAACGAGACCATTCTTGACGCAATTACGTCATTGTTTGCAACTTGGAACGAAGTCATAGGAAGTCGACGTTCTGGAAGATTCTCTGCAGTCCCTTGTGTAGGTGTATACGACGATTGACTCATTCTTTCCGATTGCAGTTTGATGGAACAGTCGTATCGCGTGCAATTTATTAATAGAAACACGCGTGGAACGAATATTTCGCGAATATTTGCATATCGAAATATTTCATAATCGATGGAGAATAGAAAATTTATAATAATTTGGTAGAATTCGAATTTTAGTATTTTGTTAGACGCTCTGTTGGTTGTGTTGTATCGTAAAAGGAAAATGGAACAGAAATATTTAGGAAAATAATTAAAATTGTTGAAATTATTCAAATTGCTGGAAAGAGATTCAAACGAGCGCGCCATAGTTCCGTCGGTATCGATCCCTGTGCAGTCTATGGGGAGGTGGCGCCATCTGGAATGATTGCAAACGAATCTCGCGCGAGTTTCCCGTCAGGGGGCCGCTCGATCGAAACTTTCGTGACTTTCGATACTTCGTAGAGACTTTCCGACCACGTTAAAAATAGAAATTTGTTAATACGATTATTATATTCGTCTCTGGGTGGACGCGAAAGGAGTTTTAGAGTCGGAATATAGAAATATCGGTAGTTCTAAAAAAAAAAAATGTTTGCCAATATGTAATCGAGTCACGTGGCAATGACACTACTGGTAATTACAAATGCCCAGCCCGTAGGATCACGCGCGAAATGAATACGGAAACCTTCGAAGACACGTTAGACGTATTTTCTTCTTTTTCTATTCGTCGCCTCGACTACGAATTCCCCCCCAAGAGAGAAAAAAATAAGAGACTTTCTTCCGTCGACTCGCTCGATGAATATTTATTGGAAATTGGGTAATCAACGCCGTTTCGTCGGGATTTACATTTTATTAAAATCGTACATAATCTTAATGGTTTTATTTCGATAATGGTACAGATACGAGTTTTCGTGATCGGTGGAGTTGATATGGCGAGGAGCTTAACTCCGGTAACCTAGCTTTATGATGTCGAATAAAACTCATACAGCTAGATAACCAAAGAAAATGTCCGCGCCAAGATCCCCGGCTAGTTGGCCGGAGGCGCTGAAATTCTTCCACGGGAAGATCGTCTGGGTTCTCCGGAGTCGATCGAGAACCTGCTCCGTGGCTGTGGAGCCCCCCTCGAGACGATATCCAGTTTTATTTTTCACGCGAGGACGGAGAAACCAGAATTTTTCGTGTCCGTCTACGTCGATCGTAATTATTAATAGAAAAAAAAAAGAAGAAGAAGTTTCGCTGGTTGCACGTGCGTCGACTAGGAGGAGGGGGGGATGCGGCTCTGCAACAGAAAGAAGGAGAAATCGTAAATCGCCTCGGCAACAATCGTCCCTTTGTAGCCACGAATTGATTGATACGCGCGCCGCTTTGAAAAGTGAACCACCAACCGTTGACATTTCGGAGTGAAAGTACCGAGCGTTCGCCGGATCGCCGCCGGCTACGAGGAGCGTATACCTGGAAATTCTTCGGGCGTTTTCAGGCCAAAGTCATTCCTTCTGAAAGCACACGACGCGGGAAGCACGCCGGGAGAAAGCGACGCGACGACCCGGTTAACTGAACGGTCGCGCGCGCGCGCCCGCACCCGGTTAACTGAAACGTACCGAAAATCGACAGGCGTCGCGACCGCGCTCGATACTTTATTATTACGGCGTTTCGCAAGAGAAAGTTACGATCACCGCCGCTCGGCTTTTATCATCGAGCTCCGGTTCCCCTTCGCGCAATTTCGTACTCACAGAACATTTTCTGTTATCGAGAGGAGCCGCGTCGTTATCGAGTTTCGTAACAGATAATGTTCGAAGATTGCGACACGACCTCTAGGCCCGTTCCGCGATCGGAAAAGGCCTTCGACGCAGTAATTATTTAAACACGGACGGGCACACGTGTTCCACGAGCGTACGGTGAAAGTACGGGCGAAACCGAATAAAGAAAGAGAAAAAAAATGGAGTATCTCACCTGCGATATCGTCGGGTTTATTTCTGGCTATCGCGCCGCCGGGGCGTTGCAGGAAGACCAAGACCAGATTCGAAGGCCTCGATCCGTTGATAATCGCGCGTACTTTCTAAAACTCAATTTTCTTTATTTTTTTTTTTTACACGGTCGCCGACTGGTACAGACCCGATAGCGGAGCGGTGTCCGGAGCCGTGGAACGCACGCGAAATCCGCCCGTCGCCGTACCTAAGGCGTACGAGCAAATACACGGGAGTACCTATCTTTCACGATAAGCCGGCCTTCGATTCGTTTTCATGCGTCTGTTGCGACCGATCGCCGCGGTCGAGTCGCGATTATCTCACCTTCCCACGCGCGAGACCAGCGACAGCGACGAGCGTTTCGCGAGAACCGAGGATCGCGATCGATGCTGCGCGCGCAACCGTCCCCGAAAACGCTCAAAACTCGCGGATCGCCGGGAACCATCCGAAGCTCGATTCAACGATCCCATTAACAGTTTACGATTTAATTAACAGTCCCAATCGCGAACTTACCCTCCGGAGCGATCGCTCGCGGCAAATTCGGGTCCCAAACGAGTCGAAATCCGATCATTTACGCGTTAAATTGTCTCTAGATCGATTTATTAACCATTTATGCAATACCTTTGCATTAAATTATTTATTTATCAACGAAAATTTAATACAATTATACTAAAGGGTCTATTTTCATTGAAAAATGAATAATAACTAGATTATATGGTCAAAATTGTTTATAAAATTCTGAGAATATTAATTAATTATCTTGAAATGTTTAACAAGTTTCAATCGCGTAAATCTTCCGGGAGAGGAGAAAAATAACGATCCGTGCATGAATTTGAATGCTTAAACGCGGCTGTTAGTCGGTCGATGATAAACGTGTTCGAGCCTAGAGGACAACTCTATAGCAAAACATAAGAAAAAATTCCCCGTTCGAATATTTACACGTTGCTAGGTTGTTCTCGATATTTACTCGGTTCTTCCCCCGAAAATTCGAGTGTCACGGTGCCGCGTACGACGGTATGCATATCTGCGTTTTATTTCTCGGTCCGCTCTACCGTGCAAATCTCGAATGCACTCGCCGGCACGTTGAAGATCGTACGCGATACAGGCTTCCGCAATGCTATAACGCCCGTCGTTCGAAGGTGAGACGTTTCTTGGCCTGCATTTCTAACAAAAAAAAAATTCAAAAAAAAAAATATTCAAAAAATTCGCGGTGATCGAATTCCCCAAAAAACGTTGAAACCTCGAAGCACGGATCGCGTTGATCGATATACTATCGATTATGGCCCCTCTCACTTGACACGAATCGTCAGGGGAAAAAATAGTTCGCGTTTTGGGACCGAAGAATTTAGGTGCTTTCGAGGTAAAAGAGTCGAGTGGCGGAGCACGAGGAACAAAAGCGTCCTGGAGTGCAACCTGTTGCTAAGAGGGCCGCAGAAATTCGCACGCGAAACGGTGCGGATCGAGCGGACGCTCAGCGCGCGAGGAACGAGGCGAAACACTATCCCCGGTGAATCCCCGACGATAGCCGCGAGAAGATTAGAGAAAATAACGCGAGAACGCAGCTGAAAAACCTGAAGCTCCAGTTACGAGATCGTCGTTTGAACGCGGTTCTCTCATACCTGTTCGTGTATCGGGCCGCGCGACTCGGCTCGTGAATTTTAAGTCCCGGGCACAGCTTCTCCGGCGTCGTCCCAAGGGCACATAAGGGACCCGGGGTAGCCCGAAAGAGGAGGAAAGACAGAAGGAGTCACACCTGGCGCGGTACGAGATGAGATCACAACCGCACTCACTGATCAACTGGCCCCGCGCCCCACGTCCTGGGCCGCACGCACCTTTCGAGTCTGCCCCCCTCGGGGCCCCCTCCAGCCCCTCCCCTGGCCGGCCAGGCCTCGCACGACGAGCCCATTGGCCCGTTCAAATCGACGTGCTGACGTCACCGGGACCGAACCGTCCGCGTACGTACGAGAGGAACGAGTCTCTTCTCTTCTTGCCCCCCCCCCTTCTCCTCCTTCTTTCCTACCTACGTCTTCTCCATGTCGTTCCCTCGCCCCTCCAGGTCCCCCATCCTCGATCCGCGGTCTCCTCGTTTCTTCGTCGCGTCGTTTTACCGTCTCTTTCCTCTTTTTCCCCCGATTCTTTGTACCCGGGATTCCCGATTTTCCCGGTGAAAATCAACGGCCTCTCCGTTCCCCGTGTAACGAAATGCGTCCTACGGCACCCGCGATCTCGCGCGTTCTGACTCCCGGGGGCCCGCAGAGCGCGCTCGAAGGCGGCACGTACCCTTTTCCATCCAGTCGCCGGACAGGATTGTCCGCCGCGGAGCCGAGACCAGCCCGCCAGGTATACCGGGGAGACACAAAAAGGAAAAAAGGACGCATTCCAAC